GGGGCTCCGCACCACGGGGATGAGGGTCCTGCGGAGCATCGGGGACACCTGCTGACGCTGGATTCGGTTTCGGTGCAGGGCGGTGGTGCTGAGCCGCTCTCTGTCCCCTCTGCAGGTGCTGCAGGGACCAACCAGCCGGGAGGGGAAGGGGCCAGAGCAGAGCCCCCAGCTCTGAGATTTGCTCTTCCCTTCAAAACCCCGGCTCAAGCTCTTAAGCAAAAATGAGATTGCGGCACCTCTTTCCCCACCTCCCCATCGCTTCTGGCCCCAGGGTGGACCCTGCTGGGAGCGGCAGGAGCTCTGTGAAGGGCTGCGGGGCTCCCTGTGCCCACCCACATTCGTCTCTTCCCCCCGATCAATACCGCCCAGCATCAACATAAAATCGATGCCCCTCCCCTGGCCAGCCTGTGGTCACCCCGCAGCCAAATCCTTTCCGCCCCTCACCCCTCCTGTGGGCACCAGTGCTGGCAGAGGGGAGGACAGAGGATGGGGACCAGGACGGGGTCCCTCCCTGCAGCCCCTTCACACGGGGACCTGCAGGGCCCCACTCCCTCTCCCCAAGAGCCTTCTCGGTCATGACGGCAAAACGGGGGACACACTCTGATGACACGGCTGTGCTTGCACCGGGATTACGGTGGCACAACTGCGTGGAAAAGCAGGTGGCAAATCCACACGGGTCCTGACCCACTCCTGCCACCGGCACTGCTGGAGACAAGGGGCCTTGGCTGGGGACACGGAAGAGTGGCATCATTTCAAGTCGGGAGCTGGACAGACAATGGTGGGATCAGCCCTGCTGAACGCATGAGCAGGCAGGAAAGGGCAGGAACAGGGCAGGAATGGGCAGGAACAGGGCAGGAAAGGGCAGGAACAGGGCAGGAATGGGCAGGAATGGGCAGGAACAGGGCAGGAACAGGGCAGGAATGGGCAGGAATGGGCAGGAATGGGCAGGAACAGGGCAGGAATGGGCAGGAACAGGGCAGGAACAGGGCAGGAATGGGCAGGAACAGGGCAAGAATGGGCGGGAATGGGCAGGAACAAGGCAGGAATGGGCAGGAAAGGGAAGGAACAGGGCAGGAATGGGCAGAACAGGGATGGAGTTGGGGCTGGCAGAGCTGGAGCTCAGCACGCCAGAGGTCCAGAAGCACCTCTCAGTCCATTGCTCCCTGGATGGGGTTGGCCCCCCAGGCCAACCCTGGTCCATGAAACCTCCAGCTGAAATTAAAGGAAGACTTTAATCACTGGGGATGAATCACAAGTGGACCCTGTCCAGTGCCAGTGTCAGGGGGTACAGACTGGGGACCCCAACCCTGCTTTGTCTCAGTGCGTGGGGATGGATTTGGGTTTGTCTGAAGGGCTTTTTGTCCCCTCCCGTGGTGGACAGGGACAGCACATGTCCCTGTGGTTGTGGGGAAACATTGTGTGGGTAAAATGTGTGCCACACCCAGAGGGAGTGGGTTTGGGGTGCTGGGAGGGTGGGTTTGGGGTGCTGGGAGGGTGCCAGAGCCTGTGTATGACAAACATTGGGATGACAGTGACAGTGCCGTGGCCATGGGGTGCCCCTGGCTGTGTCCCTCAGGGTCCAGCCCCGGCTGTGGGGTGGCCAGAGCCGATGGCCACAATCTGGCACCGGGGCTGTGCCTGGGGCTGCCCGGTGCCAACCACCTCCTCTCCTCGGCTGTCCCTGCCACACAATCTGCTCTGTCCCTCAGCCCCGGGCAGCCTGCCACCCTGCCTGGTTGGGGGCCTGGCCCTTCCCCAGGGACTTCTGCCTGGGATGGAGAAGCAGGGGCACATCCACACTCCACCACCATGGACCTGGGGGATGCAAAGCCCTTGTAGGAGGTGGGGTGAAGCAGGAGCTGTAGAGATGCCTGATGGTACCCAGGGATGGTGCAGCGTTCCCAAGCCTCCTGGTATGTCCCCAACCACCTCAGCATATTCCCTAAGTCCCTGGTTTGTCCCCAAACCCACTGCCCCCTGCCCCCCTCCCCATATGCCCAGCATTTTCCCCATAGCCTGACCCCCACTGGCTGGGGTGGGGGCCAGTCCCTCCTTCCCATCGGTGCTGAGGAATTCATTACCGGCACAGCTGGGCCCTGCTGGGGAGGCCAAGCTACAAGGAAAATTAACCTCTTCCTCCCCAGCCTGCAAGCACAGCCTGGGCCCCATCCCTGTCAGAATTGGCAGGAAGCGACAGTCCCCTCTTGGGGAGTGCTGGGGGGCTGTGGTGTGCTCTGCATGGGGGCAGCTTTGCAAACCCAAACGCTTTGCAAACCCAAATGCTTTCCAGCCCAGCATTTCCAGGCTTTTATTTGCAAGGGAAGTTGCTGTGTCCCCTCCCAACATGGGCTTGGGGACAGGGGAACTTTCTGTGCTCACCCCCCCTGGAGGAGGGACCCCAAACCTGTGCCCTGGGGCTGGAGGGGGTGAGGGGGCATCACTCAGTCCTGGCTTGGCTGAACTTGGAAGCCCCCACAAGGGGATGGGTGTTCCCACCCCAAATCCTCTAACCCAGTGTTGTCCCTGCAGCTCTAACCACCCCTCAGTCTCTCTTGGGGCAGAGCAGGGGCAGAAGGACCCGGGCTGCCCCCAGTTTGTTAGAAAGGTTTTATTTCTCTGTATTTACAGACTTCATAAAAAATAAAACAACAAATCCCTCCCCTGCCCTTCCCTCCCCGCCATGGCACTGTCTACCCACAGCCCTGCCCTGGGGGTGTGGGAGGGTTACTGGCTGTGGGGCACAGGGCTGGGACCCCACTCAAGAATGGGAGTGCCTGGAGAGGCAGCAGGCAGGGTGGCACCCTCCCCCCTGAAGCCCTCACATTCACACTGACACCCCCAGGCCTCCTTAATTCCCGGTGCAGAGCACTGAGCCATGACCTCCCCATGTGCTGTGGGGTGACCCCATCCTGTACCCTCGTCCTGCCCCCGCAGGGCAGGAGGGAACAGCCCTGGGGCAGAGCTGTCCCCCTGCCAGGGTCCCCCCAGGTCCTTATGGCCCCCTGTCCCCCAGCACAAGCGGAGGTGGCTGTATGGCTTTCAGGACTTGGCTGTGCCGTAAAGCAGAGGAGGTGAGGCAGGGGACAAAGGGGTCCCCCAAATACTGGGATCCCTTGGTAGGGGCTGCTTGGTGGAGACATATAAAATCTTATAAATTAAAGGAGATATACCGGGAGGGAGGGTTGAGATGACCTCCCACAGATCAGTGCCAGGTTTTTGGGGGGCTGAAACCCACCCAGCTGTGCTCCCAGAAGAGACTGGGGCTGGCATGGGGAGCTCCCCCAAGCCCTCTGCTGCTGCGGGTCTGGAGGTGTCTGGAGGGCTCATGGGGGTACCCCACAGTCCCCCCTGCAGCCAAAGCCCTTCTCAGGTTCAAAGCTGGGTGTGAAGACAATAAAGGGAGTGGGGTAAGGGGAGACTGGGGCACACAGTTTGTCTCCTCTCTGAGTCCAACATCCTTGTGCAAAGCTCTGTGTCCTCCCTGGGCACCCTGAGCACTGCAATGCAAAGGCATTTGGGGGGGCACAGCCAAAGGAAGCAACGACCTCTAAAGAAAAAAGGAGATTCACCCCAAAGCCACCCCGGAGCTTTCTGAGGGTGCCAGCATGGGTCACTGGTTGTCCCCGGGCTGGTACTGGGGCTCAGTGGCAGTGAAATAATCCTCGAGGAAGGACTGGAGGTACTCAAAGGTGGGGCGTTCCTCAGGTTCCCTCTTCCAGCATTGCACCATCACCTCATGCAGGGACGGGGGGCAGCTCCCCGGGCACTGCATGCGGTACCCCCGCTCCACCTGCTCCAGCACCTCTCGGTTGTTCATCCCTGTGTGGCAAGGACAACCCCCCGCTCAGTGACAGCACCCCCATGGGCCGGCCAGCGGGGAAACTGAGGCACACAGTGGCATTACCCTGTGGTTTGGGTAAGAGCCCAGTTTAACATTGGCCTCTCTGATGGGGAAACTGAGGCGTGGGACAAGTGAGGGAGGGTCAGCCCCTCTCTGTGCCTTGCCCAGCCCACTCCAGGGGTGCCCCTGCCCCAGTGGGCCATACCTGGGTAGGGCACCCGGCCTTTGGTCACCAGCTCAGTCAGGAGGATGCCAAAGGACCAGACATCAGACTTGATGGTGAACCTCCCAAAAAGCGCAGCCTCCGGAGCCGTCCACTTGATGGGGAACTTGGCACCTGCGAGGGGAGACAGGTGAGCCATGGCTGGGGCTGCACCTACACCTAGGGTACCCCACACCTGGGACACCCCTATCTGGGGACACCCCACACCTGGGACACCCCGCAGCAGAGGCTCTGTCACCTGAAGTGCCCTGTACTGGGGGTGTCCTGAAGCCGGGGTGCCTGAAAGGGGGGCACCCTGCACGGGGGACACCCAGCACCCATAAACCCTCTGCCTGGGGCTGCTCACACAGGGGACACCCAGCACCCAAGGCACTCTGCACTGGGGTATGCTGCACCTGGGGCACCCATCACTTGGGGCATCCATCAGTCAGAGTAGCCATGCCCTGGGGCATCTGTCCTCTGGGACACCCATACCCTGGGGTGATCCAAGGTATCCATCACCTAAAACACCCATAAATTTGGGGCATCCATTGCCCAGGTCACTCAGCCCCGGGGATGATCTCCAGGCTCCGGGACACAAGAGGGAGGACAGAGAGCAGGAGTCCCCACCCTGCCGCGCTGTGTACTCATCATCCTCGATGAGGCGAGCGAGGCCGAAGTCAGCGATCTTGCACACGAGGTTGTCCCCCACCAGGATGTTGGCAGCACGGAGATCCCGGTGGATGTAGTTCATCCGCTCAATGTACGCCATGCCCGCCGCAATCTTGGGGGGATGAAGCAGTGGTGACCCCCCAGCACAGCCCTGGGGCTGCACCTCCACCCCGCACCAGCCCCCCAGTACCTGGGCAGCCATGTCCACCAGCTGGGGCAGCTTCAGGTAGCGACCGTCCCCATCCTTCAGGAAATCCAACAAGCTCCCTGCAGGCAGAAGGAATCCCCATCAAAAACCCCCAAAACCCAAGGCTGCCCTCCCCTGTGAGCCCCCCTGCCCTGGCACCGTGCCCAAACAGATGTCCCCGCTCACCCTGGCTCATGAACTCGGTGACAATGTAGATGGGCTCCTCCGACACCACGGCGTAAAGCTGCACCAGCTTGTCGTGCCGCAGGCGCTTCATGATCTGAGCCTCCTCCAGGAAAGCCTCAGGGGACATGGTCCCGGGCTTCAGCGTCTTCACCGCCACCTTCGTGGTGCCATTCCATGTGCCTGGGTTGTGGACACAGAGTCACCACGAGCCCAGGGGACAGCCAGCCCAGGATAGAGGGGTGTGTGGATGGAGGGGTGTGGGGGTGCATGCTTGTGTGGCTGGCTGGCTGGCTGGCTGGCTGGATGGATGGATGGATGGATGGATGGATGGATGGATGGATAGATGGGCAAGGAATCAGGGCAGGGCAAGGAAGGGATCTCTTGGTGGGCATTGTGATCCCACTGCATCCCCCACCCAGAAGAACGAGTTCCCCTCACCCCGACCAACCTCACCCCATTCCCAAAGCCTTCAAGGATTCTGTGCCAAGTTTCCATTTCCCCCACACAAGTGGGTACCACCTGGCACCCTGTGATGTTCCCTGCCAGGACAGAACCAGGCTCCTCCTGCCCCGTGTGCTCCCCAACCCCGGCTGGCTGGGCCAGCCTTACCCATCCACACGGCTCCGAAACATCCCATGCCAAGTTTCCCGTCGAGGGTGATGGATTCCCGTGCTATCTCCCAGGCGTCCTTAGCTAATCCCAGGGTCTGTGGCTTCACAGCAGGGCACGGGTGGGTGAGCAGATGGCACAACCCGTCGTTGCACTCTGCGGGGCATGGGGGGAGGCAGGGAGGAGGAGGAAGGGGATGTGATGGGATGAAGGCAGCATGCATGAGTAGAGGAAGCAGGGGATGCCAGAGGAAGAGGATGGCGAAGGTGGGACCCCCTGGCCTGGTCTTGTGGTGCCATCTGCAGCAGGGGTCTGCTTGCCCGTGCAGAGGTGACATGGGGCATCTTGGGGTACCCATTGAGAGCCCAGAGCAGGACACAGGATAATTCCTCATGCCAGCAAATCGGAGTCACTCAGCCTGTCCTGGCAGGCATGAGCTTTTCCCGGTGGGGTGCCAGGCCTGGGGGTACCCCCACGTCTCCCCTGCCTCTTTCCCTGGCTTGCCCACCAGGCCCTACCCATCCAGACTTCCCCGAACTGCCCATTTCCCAGCTTCTTGAGGAGCTGGAGGGATTCACGGGGGATCTCCCACACATCTTTGGTTTTGACTGAGAGGTCGGCCAGTTTGGGGGTTCCCTTGTGGCACGGCACGGCCAGGCGGCAGCACAGCCCAGCTGCCCGCTCTGCAGGGGGACAGGAGTCAGTGTGGGCACGGACCCCCACCAGCCCCTTGCTCCCCTCCCACCATCCCAGGCATCACCAAGGCTACTGTATCACCCAGCCACCCCCAACATACAAATGCATCCCCCTCCAGCTGCCCCAAGGACATCTCCACACCCCTTCGGCTGGGCAGGACCCCCAGTCCCTCCAGCTACACCCAGGGAGTGGGTGATGCCCACCCTCTGCAGACAACGGGAACTCCCTGCACCCTGGGCATGGCAAAGGGGAGGCTCCCAGGGAGTCCCTTAATGCCACCAACAGAACAGCCCCCTCCTTCCCCAGTGCAACCCCGTCAGCCCAGTCTCTTACCAAAGGATCTTCTGAGCTTTCCCTACTGCTCTTATTGCCCCCCCTTTGTGCCACTCACCCCACCCTACCTATATAGTGCTGGACCAGCTGCTGGACGGTGTTGAACTGGGCACGGGTGGTGATGTAGTACCCCCCGCTATCCAGTTTGCGGATCTTATAGTGCTTCACGTGGTCTCCCTTGGCCTCATCCCAGTCCCGGATGGAGAGGGAGTAGGCACCTACGTGGGGATACAGGTCAGGGAGGGATGCGGGGCACAGCCCCTGGTGTCCCCACCCCTGTCCCCATACCTTTGGTTGTCTCACTCTCCCGAATGAGGAAGGTGCCTCTGCAGTTGGTGTGGCACAGGAGCTGCCGCTCTGCGTCTTTGCGCCCGATCTTCCCAAAGTACCACCTGCCACGGTGATGGGCTCAGTGCCGGGAGGGCACCACCGAGGGGACCACGGAAGCCCCACGCCAGCACTGTGGCACTGCCGGGGCTCACAGGGACATCTGAGCCTGAGGCAGGTGGGGCTGGGGTTTGTCTCCATCCCCTTTCCCTCGCTACTCACTCTTCTGCCTGGATGGAGTCCACAGGGGCCACGTAGTTGCTGGGGATGTAGCCCGTGGCACCCGAGCTCAGTGACCTGGCCTCCCACCAGTCCCCCTCCCTGGGCAGGGAAACAGAACATGGAGGAGGAGGGACAGACAGACAGACAGACAGACTCCTCACCCTGGCCACAGCACGGCCGGACCCGCTCTGCCCCAGCCGTCCCTGCTGAGACCGCTCCACTCGTGACACCGGGCCCTGGACCTGAGCGGGGCAGCCCAGGCGGAGCTCGGGTCCCCAGCCCGGGTCCTGCGGGGGGACCCAGGGCACAAACGCACCCCAGCAGGTGGCATGTGGGTGCTGAGGGTGGCAGAAGGCCCGGGGGCGCTCACGTGTTGTTGATGATGTGGAATTTCTCCCCTTTCTGGAATGACAAGTCATCCTCCGTCCTGGCCTCATAGTCGTACAGGGCGATGAAGAGCGTCACCCCCCCGCCTGTGGCACACGGAGGGGACCACGGTGACCCCAGAGTCCAGGGGTGCAGGTGGACACCTCTCCCCATCATCCGGCCACCCCGCTGACCTGTGATGCCCCCGCTCCGCGTTTGCAGCACGGTGGAGGTGAAGCCCCCCGGCTCCGCAAAGGACGGGGCCAGGGGCACCGCTGGCCCCTGGAAGTTGTTGAAGTCGGGGATGCGGGTGAAGGCGGCCCCTGGCTGCGTGGGGTCGGGGTCGTACTGGGAGACAGGGGGCTGGAGGGAGCCTCCCTCTCCCCCTGCCTGCCCTTTGCCAGCCCCCTTCTCTTTGCAGGGCACACAGCCCATCCCGGGCACCGCCTGTGGGACAGAGGGTCCGTGAGCCCGGCAGGGCGCGGGGTGCGCACCCATGGCTGCGGGCGCTGGGTGCACCCCGCCGGCCCCGGGGGGCTCTGCCACCCCCCAGCTTGGCGTACTGGACACCAGGGGGGCACTGGGGTCCCCATGGGCACCGCCAGAGGCACCGCTGCAAAGAGGGCTGTGCTGCCCAGGGGACCCCACGGCCCCCTGGCACCCGTGGGTGCTCCACGGTGGCTCCACTCACTGCGACGGCTCCTCAGGTCACTTCAGCTGCTCCATGTCACTTCAGGGAGGAGAAGAGTCACCTGTGGACACCAGGGAGGGCATCAGGTGGGGGGGAAACACCCTTGCCATGGGCTGGAACACCCCTCCACGGAATAAAATAACCCTGTACAGGCTGCAACACCTCTGCATGGACTGCAATACCCCTTCCAGGGCTGAAACACCCCTGCACATGCTGAAACACTTCTGCCAAGGGATAAAATACCCCTGAATAGATTGAAACACCCCATAAGAGGATGTAACACCCCTGCCATGGGCTATAACACCTCTACACGGGCTGCAACACCAATGGCTTGGACTGCAACACCACTTGCGTCGGCTGTAACATCCCTGCAGGAGTTACAACAGCCCTGCACAGACCAAAGCACCCATGCACAGGCTGTGATACCCCTGCAGGAGCCAGAACACCCCTGCATGGGCTACAACATCCTGTCAAAGGCTGCAACCCCACTGCGTGAGCTACAATGATCTGCGTGATCTGCAACACCCCCACAAAGCTGTAACATTCCTCCGAGGGCTGCGGCAGCCCGGTGCAGGCTGAAGCCACATCCTCAAGTGTGCTTTTTTCTCACTGTGTCCTCACCACACCGCTCACGTCCTCTCAGGGCAGCTGCATCCCCGAGGCTGAAGGGGAGCCAGACCCAGTGGAAGGAGCCCCCAAAGCGGCCCCATCCCCACACCCTCAGCTTGGCAGGGACTGGGTGTTTTGGGGAGAAAGGTCCCCTCTCACATCGCTGTGGTCAGGACAGGCTCTTCCAGCCGCATGTGGTGAGAAGGTGTCACAGAGGAGGAGGAAATGGGATCTCTCCTGTCACGGCTGTAAGGAGACATCCATCCCCAGCCCTTTGTCCTGGCTGCCGGGCACCCACCCACACCAGTCTGCCCAGTCTGCACTGGGCAGAGCACTCCAGTCTGCAGCGTGCTGAAGGTCACTCTGTCTCCAGCTGAGAGCAGAGGCAAGGAGCAGGAAGGTGTCCTGTCCTCTGCACTCCACTGAGCAGGAGGAGACAAAGATTTTGGGGTGGATGAGATGTTTCAGGCAGGTTTTCCCAGTCATTGATTCCCTTTCCTCACACTCAGTAGGGTTGGAAAGAGCCCAGCTCTCCCCTTCCATCTCTGTTTTCCACACTGGTAGTGTGGCAAGGCCACAGCCGTTGCTGACAGGGCAGCATTGCCAAATCTGAGGAAACTCGGCTGGTTGGGGATTTTATTCCTGATGACAATTAGTGGCTATTTAAACTAATGAACAACCCTGGCTCTCACAAATCCTGTTCCCCCTGGGTGGGAATCACCCACCCACCACATTTAGAAACTTCCCATTTTGCTGAATTTCAGTGCTGACCAAGCAGTGGAGCTGCCACGGCTGCCAGCAGGGATGGGGATGGCAAGGAGCATCTTCCAGGCAAGTGCAACCCCCCAGCATCGAAGCATCAAGGCTTCAGGTGCTGTGCAGCAGGACTGCACCCAGGCCTCCCTTTCCCTGCGCATCCAAGAGCCCCCTGAGCTCACCCCAGGGTGGCCCAGAGCCATCCCCTCGCGCTGTCCATGGGAAGGGGACGCAGCTGCTGCCGTGGCTGCCGGTTGTGCGGTGGTGTCTGGCTCCAGCTTTCCCAAAAAGGAGCTGCTTGGAGCCGGGGAGCAGATGGCAACTGAGCCCTTCCCGCCTTGGCTCCCCCGGCACCAGTCCCGGCCGAGCTGCCAGGTCCCGCCCTGCACTGAGACCCAGCCAACTGATCACCCCTGTCCCGCCGGGCACATCCCTCACTGCCCATCCATCTGCTCCCCAGGCCCCTGGGACATGGGGCAGCTCAGCCCCACCCCCAGCTCCTAGACAGGGCACAATACCCCTTGCACACCCAACTGTCACCCCAAGTGTTACCTGCAGGGCCGGGGTACCCCTGGGGTCACCTCCGCGGCCTGCCTCCACCCCCCTGATGGGAGGAAGAACAGCAGTGGAGACCTCGGGCTCTGGGGGGATGCAGCCACAGGGAGCAGTACGGGGGTGCTGGGACTGTCACGCTCCATGCCGTGGAGACAAGCCACGGTGGCATTTGCCAGGCTGAGGGGGCCACAAACCCCCTGGGCAAGAGGTAGCTGCCAGAGGAACTCACACAGCAGCTATGCAGTGGGAAGAGGAAGCAGCAGGAGCGCGGTGTGGGGTGGGGGGGAAGGAAGAGGATGGTGCTGTGGCCATCAAGAGGCCACAGGACTGGCAGGACCTCGAGCCCTGGGGATGGTGGCAGCTGGGAGGGTCAGGCAGGGATGACAGCAGGGCTGCAGCCCCCTGGGTATCCCGAATCCCCCCGTGCCTTGTCCCGCACTGTCATTCTGCTTTGCTCTCGCTCCCTGGGAAGAGGAACCGAGAGGGCTGCACAGCCCAGCCTGGTGCCACTGAGGTTCCTCTGTCACCCTGTGGCTCTGGAGATCCCTTGTACCAGCAGGAAACCTTAGGCATGAGGTAGCTGCAGCGCAGAAGAAGAAGGTGGCTCATCAGGACACAGGACCTGGAGCTGGGTTCCCATCCCATGTCCAGGACTCCACAGACCTGGGGAGGGGACAAGAGGCCACATCTGCCTCCCCCATCTGCTCCTTGTTCCAGCTCTGTAGCAGATGGTGGTGTGTCCCTGCCCCTTCCCTGCTGCCCCCAGCCCCAACTCCACCCAGAGGATACCTGGGGATGGAGCTCAGTCCTCCCAAGTCACCCAGTGCCTGGTGAGTCCCCTGCGGCTCCCAGTGGGAGCAGGTTCCTCCAGAACAAGGAGGGATGACACTCCATCCCCTGCATGCCCACAAGCAGGGCTATTCCCTGGGATGGAAAATAAAGGACTTGCCAAGCCCCAGAAGCCATCTCCACAAGCCCACCTGTCAGCCACCAGACCCATGACAGAGGGGTCCTCTCGCACCCCTCTCTGGCAGAAGATGCTCAGTAGTGAGGCAGCCCCCCTTCCCCAGCCTTCCAGCCCCATCGCTGGCCGGGAAAGCAGGATTTCCGCTGGAAGAAGAGCAATTCCCGGATCCAAGGGGCTGCAGGGGCGGAGGGAGGGAGCCAGCCAGGGCTCCAAATACAATGTCCCGGGAGGAGCGGGGTGGGGAGGGAATTGTGCAGGGCAGGAAGCAGAGAGTTCCTGTCCCTCCTTGGGACACACCAAGGATCAGGGACGAAGCAAAGCTGCAGGGAGCAGGGGGAGCATCCGCTCCGGCCAGGGCCTGAGCCCCCTACGGTTCCCCCAGCCCCAGCCACGGAGAGCTCAGCCCCCAACATCGCCCCGGAGCGCTGGCTGGGCTGGCATCCCTTGGGCACCTGCAGGGACGGAGGGCACAGGTGTGCGAGGTCTCCCGGGGTGTCGTGTCCTGTCCCCTCCCCAGCGTGCGGGTCCGGCACGGA